GAATATGTTATGAAACTTATTTCATTCTGAACAATTTAACACTCAAAGCAAGATTTAACATTCTTATTCTTCAAATCACATTTCTCAAAATAGCTTATTAAAAAAATTGAACAATACATTCTTAGCCCCACATGAATTAGGTAAGCCCCTGGTCAATATCCTCGCAAATATTGAACCACTGATTCAATTTTAGCTTGTCAACTTTCTAACGAAGAACATTTCTTGAAATTTGTAAATATTATTCTTTTTCTTTGTCTCTTTTAAAAACAAAATTGTTGAGATTTATTGTGTTTTGCCATATTCGTTTTTGTCTTTTAAATCATTACTCTTAGAAAAATTATGCTGGGGAATTTCTAGCTAATGCCAACCATTCTGTTTGTCTGAAAAAAAGAAAGTTGTATCTATTTTGATTCAAAGATGAACAAAAGTCAGATACAAACAAACAATGTTTTACCTCATCCAGTTTTAGATTTGTTCTTCCTAGGTTATGCACCATAAGTTAGTATCATTCTAGCCTTTTCAACAAATAGTGTTGGAACAGTTTGTCATCCATACAAAAGAAAAAAAAATGAACCTCAACACATACTCATACCCTATGCAAAAATTAACTCATAGTGGACCACAAACCTAGATATGAAACCTAAAATGAATGGTGTTCTCTTCCCAAAAATCAAATTATCTAATGATTGATTATATTTTCCTTTTAATTCTGATTTTGGTAGGTTGTATATGTACTACTCAGGTAATTAAGAGTAAAATGAGGACTTTAAAAATTTCATTTGATGCAGAAGAAGCAGACATTTCATCTTTTACTCTCAAGAACCATCCTAAATGAGGCTGCAATATTCGAGGATGGTTTTTAAAAGAAGTTAATTCCTCTCCAGCTTTGCAGTGCAGTTAACAGCCTCCACACAGCTCTTTGGACAATCTCCAAGTCAATAAACAGCTGGTTAAGAATTACCTGGATTGCTCGGGAGGAAAGCATCGTTCCAAACACAACATAATTTGTCTTGGACGTACAATATTTAATTCACTAAAACTTTTCCAAAGTTCCCTTTTAATTTTCAACCTCTGACATTTCATGGTAAATGATCTAGCATGTAAGTCTTCATGAATTAAAACATTCCCAAAAGACAATAAGTGATTTAAATCTCTGAAAATTTAAACATCAGTTAAAATTTAAAAGTGTGATAAGTCTCAGCCTTGAGAATAATTTGAAAATATTGAAAATAATTATAGGAATAGCTTTATTTACATGCCCAACTTTCCTGCTGAGGACAAATACAAAAAGAAACACAACAAAAGTTTTTGCCAATAATATCTATTCCTTTTTTCTCATTTACTAAACCGTATCTTTTCCTCAAACACCAAGCTGCTAGGTGTTAATAGTTCATTAAAATTGTGAAGGGAAGTGTGAACAGTATACCAAAATAATAGATTAAATTTTAAAAATAAGAATGTGAATTAAAAATCTTGATATCTTTAAACTGGAATCACTTGAGATAAAGAAACTTGGTATGCAAAATTTATTTACTTTGGTAAAGTTTGATGTTACGTAGACTCAGAATAAACTCTCCTTCCTTCATTAGTCAGTTCTATAACATTAGTCCCAAATTATATATGATATTCAAAGAAGATCTGATTGGTGGGATAGATACACCTTGAAAGTGTCAGACACCACTATCGTGAAAAGGATTTGTAACTCCAGATGAAACTGTTAGGCCTTTAGAAGATGAAATATAATCCTGAAATTTCATATACAAGGAAAATTCTTTAATTATTATTTTTTTTCAATTCCAAATTACATTTAAAGCATCTAGTGCCATGCCTGAAAGTTAGTTATCATTCAATTAAAAGTAGTTATTGTTTCCATCTTTTATGATGATTGTGGATTGTGATAACTTTTATGTATATATATGTATGGACATTGTGATTTTTTTATATATACATCTATAAATCATTTTACATATATATGGCATTCACTTCTAAAAACATTTATATCTTTGAAACTATATTACTTTTCATGTATAATTCTCCTAATAAGACCCTTCTCATCTCTAAAAATTAAACAAATAATCTCTATGTTCTTAAATACACCTTAAAAACCTTGTAAACGTTCTGCTAAGTGAATGAAGACAGACGCAAAAGGTCACATGTTGTATGATTCCATTAATAGGAAACATCCAAAGTAAGCAAATCTATAGAGACAGAAGCAGATTATTGGTTGCCAGCAGCTGGGGTTGGTGGGGGACGGGGAAGGTGACCACTTAGTAGGTACAGGATTTCCTTTTGGGGTCACAAAAATTTTCTGGAACTAGGTGGTGGTAACTACATAATACTGTTAGTGTACTTAATGGCATTAATGGTAAGTGTTATGTGTATTTGACCATAACGAAAAAATTAAGGCAGAGAATAACCTGTTACCTTGTAACTCAAAAGCAACATAAATTACTATTTTACATTGACAACAGCAGCTACTGGAAATTCTGGCTCTATATAACTGTTTACCCCTAAAATCAGGCATCCCCAAACTCAATGAACTATGTTAGTTGAAATAAATCTCTTTCAACTTTTGAAAGAATGTTCTCATGAACTAAGTTTACCTTCCCAGAAATTATTACATTCGCACATAAGGACTGGGAGTGTTCCAAATGGCTTTTTATTGTGTATGTCTACATACCTTTTTATTGTTCTTACCAGTATTTTAACTTTTAATCTTACATCTACACAGAGGTAACTGAATAAGATATAAAGAGTGTTATTTCATTGATTCAACACATTTTATGTTCTAACCAATGCTTCTTAATTTTGTGCTTCCAGATGTGATTAGGTTTCTTTTAAAATTGTTTTGTAATTTTAAAATAATCCTGCCCTTTTCTAAGAGAATAATTAAACATATGGATAATGAGAAGTCAGAGGGAGATTTGAGATAACCTTTCTAAGCCTCTAAATAGTTCTTATAAAATGGCTTTCTTCCCTGTTGGTTTAGTAACTGAGAATGAAAAGATACTTCCCCAATGGGCCATTATTTCAGAATCAGTGGCCCCAGATGACCACCCTCCCCGTGGCGGGGTTCTTAGAGCAGATGGTGCAGGCAACATGGGGATATTACAGAGATGACATTAGAAGCAATTATTCCGCCATTGCGTATTAGTATTCTGTGCGTTGTGACGCATGGAATCTACGTTGTGAAGTACTTCAGAATTGGAAAATCTTAAAAACTAAACTAGAGAGACACGTGTTCAGGAGTTTAAACTTTGTTCTTAGTTTTTGAAAAGGTTAAGTTATTTTCTGATCATTTTGAAAGTAGCCAGAATCTCTCATTAGGACTCATTAAAATAGAAAGAATTCTGGGTTATTTTTCCATTTGGCTATGAATCCAGTGATTTTTACCTTAAATGTTCTACCCTCTCCAGTTACTGGCTAAAAAAATCTATTGTCCTAGAAACTTCTTCAAAAATCAACAATAATAATATATGCAAATCGAGTCAAAAAGACATATGTATTGGTTTCCTATTGCTGCTATTAACAAATTGCCACAAATTTAGTGGTGTTGTTACCAGCCAGGTCCCTTCTACACATGTACAGCAAGCTGATAACTGTGGCAATGGGTTTTGCAAAAGGAAAAAGATTTTATTCACAAGGCTGCTGTGTGAGGAGTTGGGGGAACAAATCTCAAATCTAGAAAATCTAGAAAATAGGGCTTGGGGATTCATGGGATAGAGGTGGTCTAAAATGTGGGGAAAGTGATTGGTTGGTGGAAAAGGTAATGTAATTGGGTTTTCTGTGCAAGCTGATTGAGCCACATGGTTCCACAAAGGACACATGTGCAGAAAATGGCAGCATCAGCATGATCTGAGAGTGGAGTTTCTGGTGCTCTGACATTAAAAAGTCACTCTTCAGGCACCTACACAGGCCCAGTTGAAGGGTCAGTGGTCTCAACCAGCTTGAGCTGGACAAGTGTTGCCCCTAGTTCCTGGAAAAAAACTTTAAGCACCTGTTACTATAGTTACCCACAGTCAGAGATATTATCTATAAGGAAGCTGGTGGGAGTTTAGTTATGTATTGTTTGGCTAGTGACTTGCTAATGGGAGTTTCCAGATCAAGTAGAAGTAAGAGATTAAAAGCAAACAAGGAAGGTTAAGTTTGGCAGTCCTAATCAGGTTTGCCCTCCCTTTCTGTGTTCTCCTTTCATGAGATGGTCAGTTGTGTATGGCCATAAGAGACAGACGAGAGGCTCAGGAAAACACCAGGTTCATTATACTTGTGGGTCCTGGAGGCAAGAGGTACATCATGCCATGCTGGGCCATGCGGGAAAGACATCAGGGTGGTCAGAAAGCAGAAGACAGGAACAAGGAGAGGTTTAGGCCACTGCCTTTATTGGGTTTCTATAGGAAAGGCAAGGCAGGGCAGTTTAGGATTGGCTACTTTGAATAATTTCGGCAGGCTTTGGGCTACAGAGATGACATCTAGTTGCCTGGTACCTGGTCCTGGGATGATTAGGGCACAGGAATATCGTGTCCTGGGGTGCACTGGCTGACAGAGGAGGTATGGCTCTGGTTTCGTTAGTTTGCATGTCAAAGGCATATGCCAGGCTAGGTCCTTCCCTACCTCTAAAAATTGAGTGGCCCTGGGAGAGACAGTCTATCCCCAGCCAGAAAGACTTTTTAAGATATCAAAACATCATAACATACACAAAATTTAAAAATATGTATAATACAAGTGGTTTAAAATAACACAAATGTATTATCATACAATTCTGGAGGTCAGAAGTCCAGAATGTGTTTTACTGCACTAAAATCAAGGTGTCTGCAGGGCAAAATTCCTCTTGGAGGCCCTAGAAGAGAACCCATTCCCTTGCCTTTTTTAGCTTCTAGAGGCTGCCCACATTCTTTGGATCCCAGCTCCCTTCCTCCAGCCAAGACCCAGTCAGTTTCACATCATAGCATTCTAACACTGGCTCTCTGCTTATAAGGATCCTTGTAATAAGAAAATTCCTTTTGGCGTGTAATTACATACATAATATATATAAGTAATGAAGATCATTAAATATGAAATGTCTGACTTTGAAGCAAAAGTGTAGTTTATTATATCTCAAACAAGAAGCAGTACAATTAATCAAAGTATGTGCCTAAACTATCGACACAGTTTTGCCATCTTAACAGTAGCTCGTTTACACCAGCAGTGAAGAAACCTGGAGAGTGAGTGGCGATGAAATCACGAAACGCCTTTTCCACAGCTTGTTTTGAAAATTTAGTATCTTTCCTTGCAATAAGTGGTCCAAAGCCTGGAAGAAGTGGTAGTCAGTTGGTGCAATGTCTGGTGAATATGGTGGATGAAAGAGAGTTTTCAAGTCCAGCTGCTATAGTTTGAGCAGCGCTGTTTGTGCGACATGTGGTCGAGCATAGTTTTGCAAGAGGATTGGCCTGTCTCTATTGACCAATCTCAGCTGCTTAATCACAAGCATCCTCATCATTTCATCCAATTGGTTGCAGTAGACATCTGCTGTAATCGATTGACCAGGTTTCATGAAGCTGTAGTGGATAACACCAGCACTGGACCACCAAACAGACATCATTAGCTTTTTTTGATGAATGTTCTGTTTTGGACTGTGTTTCAGCACTTCATCTTTATCCAACCATTATGTCAAATGCTTGCGATTGTCAAAAAGAATCCATTTTTCATCACACATAGCAATATGATGGAGAAATGATTCACCTTTATGTCATGATAGCAAAGAAAGGCAAGCTTCCAGAAGACTTCTCTGCTGATGCCCGTTTAATTCATGTGGAACCCATCTATCCAGCTTC